GCGCGGCCGCCGCTTACGCTGCGGCGCCCGGCGCGCCCCCGCCCGCCCTCCTCCCTCCGTGCCCGCCTCTCCAGAGCCGTCTGGCTGCAGCGGTGCCTCAGACAGAGGAGGGGAGAGGAGGAAAAAACGCTGAGTGAGTGGAGTGGAGCCTGGGAGGGGCTCCTTAAAGAAACGCTGCCGTCGCTTGGCATTGTGGCCGGCGAGGAACTCAAGGGGGGGAAGGCATCGGAGCTCCTCGCGCTCTGCTCTTCCCACCCCCCCACCCCACCCCCAGCCAAAAGAAAAAAAAAGAAAAAAAAAAAGCCTTGGGGGGGGAGTCGTGGGGGGGTCCTGCAAACATCTTATAAACCGGATTGCACTGAGAGGAGAAAAAAAAAAGATACAAAATATACAAGCAAAAGGCAACAGATCCCCGGTCTCCAGCAGTCGCCCACCCTCCCTTTTCCTTCTCTCCTGCTGGCCATCTGCCTCGCGTTTTCCTTTGTGTCTGAGCCTTTACTACTGAGCCGAGTGCAGGAGGAGGGTGCACCACACACGGGGACTATGCCCAGCTCGCTTTTTGCAGACATGGAGAGGAACGGGAGCGGCGGCGGCGGCGGCGGTGGTGGTGGTGGTGGAGGGGGAGAGACCCTGGATGACCAAAGAGCCCTTCAGATCGCCCTGGATCAGCTCTCCCTGCTGGGGCTGGACAACGACGAGACGGGCTCCATTTACGACAGCGAGCCGCGGAAAAAGAGCGTGAACATGACCGAGTGCGTGCCGGTGCCCAGCTCGGAGCACGTCGCGGAGATAGTGGGGAGACAAGGTGGGTGCTGCATGCGAGTGTGCGCGGAGCGCTGCCGGCCGCGCGGCTCGCCGCGTCCCGGCCGTGCCCGCCGCGCCAGCGCGGGCTGCCCAGACAAAGGGAGCGGGCGCCGGATGCGCCTCCAGCTGCCGCCCAGACCCTCAAGGAGAGGAGAGAAAATCGCTCCGTTCCTCTGCCCTCCGCAGTTAGATTTGCAAGAGGAATTGGGGGGGAAACGGGAGCTTCGGTGGTTTTTCGGGTTTTTTTTTCCCCCCTGAAGTTAGAAAACGAGGATCGTTTTTGAGGAAGAGAAATGGAGTGGGGAAGTGGAACAATGGGATTGGAATAAAGCATCCGCACTGGGGAATGTGGCTCATTCAGTGCAGCCGCCGCTTCTCACCTTAAGAACTGATTTTATTTTTCCAAAAGGAAAGCACTGAGCAGGAATGTGGATTGGCGAGTGTGCTGTTTCGTACGGGTTGCCGCATTTTATTTTATTTTTCTGGTTGTCCCGTTTTATGGTAYGCTTTTTTTCTTTTTTTCCCCCCGTCTGTTGTCGTTCCTCAGAGCGGCACGTTGGTAGTTTGGGGTCAGTTGCATGGCAGATGTGTCGCTGGCCACTTGCGATGCCTTTGGGCGTGTGCCAGGGCTGTGGGCTGACATTGCTGTACACTGGGGCTGCTGGACCAGAAGCCAGCGACTACCTGGGGTAGGGGACAATATGCTTGGGGTGGGTGTGTTTCTACCCCCCCATCCTTTCCTGCACCCAAATAATGGGTTGTAACCGGTTCTCTCCCCCATCCCCTCTCCCTTGCCTTCCATCTCCTGCATCTCCTTCCCAGGTTGTAAAATCAAAGCTCTGCGGGCAAAGACCAACACCTACATCAAGACCCCGGTTCGCGGGGAGGAGCCGCTCTTTGTTGTGACGGGGAGAAAGGAAGATGTGGCCATGGCCCGCAGGGAGATCATCTCTGCRGCCGAGCACTTCTCCATGATCCGAGCCTCACGGAATAAGAACACAGCCCTCAACGGCACCGTCCCCGGCCCCCCAAACTTGCCTGGCCAAACCACCATCCAGGTGCGGGTGCCTTATCGCGTGGTGGGCTTGGTCGTGGGGCCCAAAGGGGCCACAATCAAGCGCATCCAGCAGCAGACGCACACCTACATTGTGACCCCGAGCCGGGACAAGGAGCCTGTCTTCGAGGTGACGGGCATGCCAGAGAATGTGGACCGTGCCCGGGAGGAGATCGAGGCGCACATCGCCATGCGCACGGGCGGCATCATCGAGCTCACGGACGAGAACGACTTCCACGCCAATGGCACGGATGTGGGCTTCGAGCTGAACGGCACGGGCAGCCTCTGGAGCAAGCCCACGCCGCCCAGCATCACCCCCACCCCAGGCCGCAAGCCCTTCTGCAACTACCGCAACGACAGCTCCAGCTCGCTGGGCAGCGCCTCCACTGACTCTTACTTCGGGGGTGGCACGGCCGGGAGCAGCGCCGCCCGCCTGGCTGACTACAGCCCCCCGAGCCCGGCGCTGAGCTTCACCCACAACGGCAACAACAACAACAACAGCGCCAACGGCTACGTGTACGGTGGCGGCGGCGGGGACGTGCTCTCCTCGCCGGACTGCTGCTCCGAGCTGCCCTTCGACTCGCCGCCGGGCTTCGACCTGGCCCCCGCCCCGCCGCCGGGGGCCGCCCTCCTGTGGCCGCAGTTCGAGCGCGGCCCCGCCGCGCCGCCCTCGCCCGCGCCCTCGCCCGCCGCCGCCGCCTTCCCGGGCGCGGCGCCCGCCAATGCCAACCTCGCGCTGCTCGTGAGCGGCCCGAGGCGGGGCGGCGACCCCCCACCCCCCGCGCGCCTCTCCCCGCCCCTGCACGGCAGCGCCGCGGGGTCCGAGCACCCGCTGGCGCGGCGGGTGCGCAGCGACCCCGGCGGCCGCCTGCTCGCCGCGCCCTACCCGCTCTACGCCAACGGGCTGGGCTCGCACCTGCCGGGGCTGCCCTCCGACTCGTCGGCCTCCTCGTCCTCCTCGTCCAGCTCGTCGTCCAGCTCGTCGTGCTCGTCGTCCGGCGTGCGGCGGAAGGGCAGCCGCGACTGCTCCGTGTGCTTCGAGAGCGAGGTGATCGCGGCGCTCGTGCCCTGCGGCCACAACCTCTTCTGCATGGAGTGCGCCAACCGCATCTGCGAGAAGACGGAGCCGCAGTGCCCCGTGTGCCACAGCGCCGTCACGCAGGCCATCCGCATCTTCTCCTGAGGCGCCGCCGCCGCGCCCGCCCGCGCCGGGGCGGCGGCGGCGGCCGTTGGGGCGGTTGGGACCGTTGGGCCGCGGCCGTTAGGAGCGTTGGGCCGCGGCCACGGGTGGGCAGGGGGGTGGTGGTGACCTGGGTGCATGCTATACATAATAACGGGCGACTCCATTCTAGTGCTAGGCTAGTTTTTACACTGTACTTTATAAACGAAGCTTCCAAAACTCCCTCTTTTTTTTTTATATATAACAAAAAAAAAAAAAATAATTGAAAGTAGAAGATGCTTATGATGATGACAATGGTGTGTGGACTGTTAGTAAAACGTGCTGGTAGTTCCTAGGATGCTTATTACGAAACTATTAAATATGGGTGGATACTTTTCTGAATGTTCTTGAAAGGGCAAGAAGTTCCTGTGAAAACCATGATACTGCAGCTTTATCAAAGTTAAAAGAAAAAAAAAAAACTGTAACATATCTCTTATATATATTAAAAACGTTTAAAGGTTTTAAAGATAAATTGCATTAATACAGATTGAAGTATTTTATTCTTTTTTGACTTGAAAAATTATATTTCATATTGCAAAGATGTTTACAAGTATTTTAATTTAAGTTCAGTGAACTTTTTGTAGCTGGGTTAAATCTTTTTTATTTTAGTATGGCCTTATGGCAAAGAACACTGTATTATTTTAATATCACACAATTGTGAACGGAACTACAAACCATAAAATGTGTAATGCTTTGAACAGTATTCTGTTGGGATGGAGATTTTATAGGTTCAGAAAAAAAAATCTTTTAAATCTGCTTCACCCAGCATATTTTCTATTCAGTGATATAAAGCATATTTTATTCTATATTATTACAAAAAATGGAAATGTATAAACATATGTCAAAAGGAACTGTTGAAGCTTTCTAACATTTGTATAAATAGAATTCAGTGGAAATTACAAAAAATTCTGTTGCACCACTATAGTTTTAGTATTTCTATTTTAATACATTTGTTTACCACTTGTTTATGTATATGTAGGTGACGTTACTTGAGCTTAAATGTACTTTACTGAGCAAAGTTTAAAAACAAAGTATATTTTATTTTATGATAAAGGGCCTTTAACCTCATGGTCAAATACTAATATTATATTTGCTGAGACAAGATTTGAAATTGTATCAAGAGTTTTATTTTTCTGACATTTAAAGTTCTACATAATAAAAGTAAAACTTAAGTAATGGTGCTACTTCATGTTTTTTTAAGTATTTCTATATAAATAAAATATTACAGAAAAAAAATGCTTTGTGTGCTGATTTGGCTTGATGTGCTGGGAGTTTTGTTTGTCATTTTACATCCCTGCTTTTAACACTGAGACATTTTGTATGTTTAAGTTATGTCATGCTAATGTTGCTGGAATTCTTCTCTTTGTGAGGGCTTCCAGAATGATCCTTCCAATGGCAATACCTGGTAACACTTTTTTTTCCCCCTTTCTTTTCCTTTTTCCTTTCCTTTTTTTTTTTTTTTTTTTTTTTTTTTTTTTTAATGTGGAACAACTCGTGGGCTGTTCCACAGATTAAAAATAGTGATTTTCTGTGTAAAAATTTTACAGTTGTGAAAAATATGTGGTTTTGCATTGATTGCTGTGTTTAGCAAATGAAAGCATGTAGAAGGAAAAAAAAAAGAGCAACTTTGTTGTATTTCTGACCTAAAAACAAGTAGCGTGGGAGGTTCCTTTGTTATAACACTGACAAAGAGCTGAGTCCTGCACTGCCTGCTCAGCTTGTGTGGTTTTGGAAGGAGATCCTAAACTTAAGTGTTTTCTAGAGCAGGACAAGGGCTTTAGTATCTTTCCTGAGTTCTTGCAATTGCTTCCTGGTATTTGGCAGTTGTGGAGTGGATAATTGGTGTTGACAAGCTTATTTGAATAAAAAATGTACTGCTGTGTAAAGCTTGTTTGCTTTTGATGATGCCCGCAACGGGGTGAAGGAAGTCGACGAGCTCTCTGGCTGAGGAATCGCAGTCCTACCTGGCACCCGCTGCAGGGGTTTTGTTGCTGAGCGGAGCGGCCGTGTTTAAATGGGCTCACTGGCTACAGCACGTCGGCGCATTTGAGAAGGGAGCTGCGGATCATCTGAAGTGTGTGTGTCGGGATAYGCCAGGGCACCTTCCAGCAGGCCAGCGAGCACAACGGAGCAAGCCGGACCGTGCCGTGCGTTCCGTGTGTTTCACGCCGTGCTCGAGGGTGTGTGTCGGGGCTGCCGGGCTCCGCTCGGCTCTTTTATGGAATCCGGAGCTGCTGGTTGGGTGGGAAGGGGGAGGAGGGAAGATGCGGCAGAGGATGATGGGATCTCTTTGTTTGATTTGATTTGATTTTTGCTTCTTTCATTTAACTGTGATTGTGCTATCATCTGATTTATGGAGTTACARTCCCTCACTGTCTAGGGAAGTGTGTCATTTCAGATGGTGAAAAAAGCAGCGCGGTGCAAAAGAGTCTAGGGGGAGGCAGAGACAATGTGCTTCCATACAAATGGGTATGGAGATGGAAAAAAAAACCCTTGGCAAAATGGGTTGCTTTAAAGGCATCAGGAAGTTTAAGTCCAAGTGTATATTTTCTTAATGATGGGTGTACTCAAAATGCGTCAATCAATTTTGTGTTTCAGCATAAACATCCTGTGCTAACGTCTGGGAAAAGTTGTGAAAATGGCTATAAATAAAAAGGTGAATTTGATAGCTTTGCTTAATCTTGCAAGCCTAGTGAAACCAAAAGGTAAATAGGGAGAGCAAGCAGTGAAAACTAAATTCTTTCCTATCTTTTTTTCCCTTAGCACACAATACTCCGGGGCTCAGGGGTGTTAGCAAGCGTGGTACAGAAGACTGTAACCAGCCATTGTGCTTTTAATGAGCAGCAGTGGTGCAGCAGGTCATCAAAGGCCCCGCTGACCTTGGCAGCGTGACAGGGGCCTTGTTCAGCACTGCTTCACTCCAGCCGCTCCTCTCTGCACTTCATTAAACATAACCGGGCTCCTAGGCCGCACTCGTCTTGGAGGACGTGTGGTTTTCCCCWTCAGACTGTGGTGAGGGCACAGGAGCCGCCGCTCTGCTCGCGCTGAGCCCCGTCTCGGCAGCTCTCCCTGCGTGTGCACATCGCCTCCAGGAGGGACCACGGCCCCTCCGGCCTCCTGCGGGGCCTTACAAAAACCACTTGTGTTCATGCCTCTTGGACGCTCCTTTCGGCTGCACCGGGCCTGCTCCGGATTACTTGTGCTTTGGCAGCTGATGATCCAGAAAGTGCCGTTAGTCCTGGCTTAGTGTCTGTGTGTTGGCAGCTGCGGGACGGGCCTTTCCCGCACGGTGTGGCAGCGAGGGCAGCGGCTTCCACGCGACATGGCCTCGCACACCCAATGTGCTCCCCGTGGCAGCACCTAAACCCTGCTGGCTCTTGCTGGCCGAGCTCGAGGCAGAGGGAGCGGTTGTGTGGGGAGCGACACGGGGGCTACCTGCGGGTGCTGCCCCCGGGGCCGCATCCGGGCCCAGATTGATGCCGCGGGTCAGGCCAGCAGCGGGCAGCGGCTATAAATCAGCGCAGAATTTGTCCCCGGGTTTGGGGCCATATGGTGTGTGTGAGATGCCCGCGCTGAAGGAGAATAAAGGCCTGTGTTTGGCCTGGGGAGATTTCAAAGCCTGAGAAAGGGGCAAAGTTCAATCTGTAATTGAGTGCTTTGAAATATATATATGTATATGGCCAATGTTTATCTTCCAGAACAAAGATCGCTCTGTTTTCCAAATGTTTGTGTGATGGTGCGGAGAATTGTACGAAGGAGTCGCGACCGCGAGAGGTTCCTCTGAAATCTGTGGCAGGGCCCGTGGGGGTAAACGCTGCCCGGGCTGAGCACAGGCTGCAGGGGCGGCCCTTAACTCTCAGCCGCTTTCATGGCAGAATCAGTGAAAACTTAAATGTTTTGTGCGTTTTCCTTGTAAAAGTATATGCATGGTTCACATAATTAGCTCAAAAACAAAAAAGATAAAGAAAAGATGCAGTTATATTTGTAATAATTATTATATACAAAATCCTGAGCTTAATTATTCCTCTGTCTATATCTTGTACTGTGTAGAATTTGCATAACAATGGAGACATCAAAGCTAAAGCATTTGGTAAAAGAAAGGTCTTTCTGCTATGTTTTTTTGTTGCCAGACAAATTAGAACCATCAGTTCAACCTAAATTTATTCTTTAGATTTTTTTTTTTTTCTGCAAATCAGTTGAAATGGGAATTAAAAGCAAACTTTAAAGCTAGTAGTAAGGAATTAGCACGGTCAGGTATTCACACTGGACTGCCTGTTTGATGTTTCTTACTTCTCTCTTCCTGCCCCCTCTCCCTTCCCCTCATTTTCCATGTCTCACCATTTTGGAAATCCAGGTTTACGCTTTTGCTGTCCTTGAAGTGAATGGGAATTCTGCCACTGATAATACTGGCAAGAGAACGCAAGTGAGTATGCCTTTTAATTGATCATGTATTTGGAGGAAAAAGTCATTATTCACTCTGCCCCTGCTTATTAGTCTTTCCTGCGCTCATTGTCTTTCTAAGAGAGATAATGAAATTAAATTAGAGAGCATGGGCTCCTTTACATCCAAAGGAGGAAAGGGATATGTGAATCTGAATAATCACTTAGGTTCTGATTTACTGTTTTTATGACAGTCTACCTGGCAAATGCGAGAGGTGTGCGGGCAGATAAGCGCTCCAGGCATCCTGCAGGGTCCTTCACGGGAGACACTCACAGCTCGGTCATTCTGGCCCCTTTGAATGCGTGTGAGTGCAATGCAGGCTCAGGGTCTGCTCAAACCCCGCCAGGAAAATAGGGATTAGAAAGTTGTACATTTTTCATTATTTTGATATTAATTAAAAAATCACTGAAATACCTGAAAATGTTTTATTGTAGTTTTATTACTTTACATTGCTTTAATGAGCTTTTCTTAGTTATGTAGAATAATTTAATAGCATCTAATTTCTAAGTTTGATTAAACATTTAAAAGCTGATTCTGKCCGAGTTTTAGTGAATTATCACAATGTTGAAGGATAAGGACTGAAAACACCTAAACGTTTGGCATGGGTATCATTCTTTACCTGAACGTTGTCAGCACATATACAGCTTGAGCAACTATGATTACGACATATGACTGTGGTTATAAGAAGGTTTACATGTTCAGTGTGGGGAATATGATGTAGCCCTGATCTGAGCTGTTTTGGCAAACGGCCTCTTTTGTGTCACGCTGATTGTGGCATAGCAGGATCAGGGCTACAGCAACTGCCCACGCTGCTTCTGGACTGCTCTGTGCTGAAGCTTGGTCCCCAGGAAACCCACAGCAGGAGTCCCACTTKCTCAGGGTTTGATTCTCCATAGAAAAGAAATGCTGGTAAATCAGGTTTATTTGCATATAAAATCTAATCCAAGGCACTTTGGTAGCAAAGTGATTGTTGCATCTTTTTCAGCAAGTTATAGCTCTTCATTGGTAAGCAGATTATTGGGGAAAAACAAAGAAAAAAACCCCAGACAGTTAAATACATTCATATTAAATGTATCTTATGCCTGTACCACTACAAACAWGATTGATCAGCTGGCTGCAGAAATTTGAAGACTTGCAATATTTCTCCCAGAGAAGTGGCCTTGTTAGTTTGAAATGGAGTAGAAAAGGAGATTTTCCACTTGTGATGGAGCTAAAATACACCAAAGTGCTTTTTCCTCTTATGCACAAGAGCTCTTCTCCCTTTCATATCTGGTGGAATTGGGTGGCCCACTTTGCATTAGTGTGAATGGCAATTGCCTTTGTAAATCTGGCTGTTGGGAATGGGTGAATAGTCCCTTGTCTCCTAGCTTGTCCTTTGTCTTTATGTTGCACTCACTTTTAACCTCTACAGAAAAGCCTTAATTTAAACGCGAGGAAACAGCAGCAATGCTCAAGTTCATCATACAGCTAGTGGCAGGTTTTATTCAACTTCAATGTTCTTTATATTTTGATGGGTGCACTAAACAATGGGAGCTATTTTAATCAAAAGAAAATTTCAACAAGAGCGTGACCTAGAAATAATGTTTTTGATGGAGTCGCCAAAGTTTCCGTTACACATTTGGAAATTATTTCCACCATTCAGCTGCAAAGGGCAAGTAAATCATACTACTTTACGGGTTAGACAAATGGAGTGCTTTTCAGGATCTTAGTTCTGCCACTGACTCATTGAATCATCTCAGTTAATTAATCTCACCTTTTATGTGCTTCAGCATTTCCATCTGTGAATGAACTAATGGCACCTACTTAAAGGCAGCATTGGGAAGATTACTTAATTGACACTACTGAAGCATCCTGAGGTGGAAGCCTGGTGTAAGTATAAAATTTTATTGCTGATACTTCCTAATTAATCAGTTCACAGTAGCCAGCATGTGGTAATCATAATGGTCTAGAGCAAACAAACACAGAGCTGGAAATCATATAAATCTGTGAGTTTTCTGAAGTTCTGTTTTCACGGGCTATCTGAATAGGCTTGTACCCTGRGGAGAGCAGACACTGACGTTATCCTTGAATCCTGTTTCCTGCTGTGGCTCTTACTGGTGTGGGGTCCTTGGCTTTTTAGTGAGCTGCATGTAARGAGAAATATGTGATCATAGTATTAAACACACAGGCATGATAGGCCTTGGTGCAGATATAGGAAAGCAGCTTTGGCTAAAAAAAATCTTGCCTCTACTGGTGTATAATCACTTATTATTTACAATTTAATGTCCTATGTTTTTGATAGAGATGAAAATGCTAATAAGAAGCACATACTATTGATGGAGTAACAGTTGTGCATGTGACTGGGTGTTACTGAGCAGAACTTTTCCTAGATGACAGGACAGGAGGAGTCTTTTYTTGCATCATAAATAACTGGAAGGCAATGGATGTTGTGAAACTGTTTGTTACTTATATGGCTAATAACATAACACTCTTACTGCAGACTCGGGTCTGTCCTGTTTGCATAACGAGATGGCTGCAGCTATGCAAGTCCTGGACYACATAATTCAAAATAGCTGGAAACAGTGGAATTTGAAAGAGCCTTGTTGTAACTAAATAATATGAAATTTTATATGAATAATAACTAAATAACTAAATAATATGAAATAAACCTAACTTTTTGCAGTGTTGAATGCCCAGCTGCCAGTGTGGTGGGTGTAGTTGCTTGGTGTATAATGTTCCAGAGACCAATCCCATTCCTAAAGGACTCTTTCTTGTTGAAAGTTAGCCATAAGATATACTTAGAATTGTTAGAATTATTAGTTGGTGCACARATGTAGGAGGGAGGTTTGAAGCTTCACAAACATTGCACTTTCTCCTTATGTCATTTGGAAAAAAAGAAAAAAAAAACTCAATTACATACAATTATGAAACAACCTCATGCCTGACGCAGTTAAAGATGTTTTTCAGGCCACAAAAATGTRACTTTCTATGACTAATTTGAATTAAAAACCCTCTTCAGCAGAAAATGTCCTCAGCCTTTGGAATGGCACAGTTCTTAGAAAGCTGCTCCTTGGCTGAGCAGGAAGGCTCTTGGAGARAGGCCCTGCACAGCACCATGAATGAGAGGGACTTTGCACTTCCAGCCTGACATGAGCTCTACGTCCATCCTGCTCTGCGTGAAGAGACGGCTTCTGGAAGGTAGGGTTACCCCTCTGCACAACTAAAAAGTAATTAAAAGTAGGGTTTCCTTTTTCTCTATTGGTGTTTCTCTGTTATATGGCTGCACTTTCTTTTCCCCACTGGTGATTTTTAAGAAAAATGACCCTTTTGTCACCACGCTGGCTTAGCAGTGAAGTTGTCTGTTGATAATAACGGGCTTCACTTCTTCCCCAGCTACGTGGTAGTCACACAGTCAAAGAATGGCCCATCCAAAACAAGGGTATGCTCAAAGCCTCATCCACTGGTGGTGTTCCCATAAGCCTAATTATATGACTTCTGGGTCGGACGATGTCTCATTGTGTGGCCCTTGGCAGCTCTGGGATGCCTAATGCCGCATGAATGTCTAATGCGGAGTTTGATGGCTATGACCGAGGCTGTCGTTCCACGGTGGAATTGAAAATATCCGTGTAGTTTCCATAGAAAACCAGGTCAATGGTGCTTCCATAAAGCTCTAGCCCCAGGGACAGCCAGGGGTTGTTCAGTGCCTGTACAAATCCATGCAGGGAGAGTAGTTTATGGTGCGTTTCTCATTCAGGTAAATGACAATTAAGGAGTCGGATTGATTTAGTCTTTAGTGACCTATTTCAGAATCTGTCCCATGACATTAGTGCACTCATTTATTGCAAGCATCACCCCTCATCCATTTATGCCTCTCTTTTATCCTATTTTGCACATTTAAGAACACTTACAAGGCCTCTTCCACACACTGTAAGCACAAGGCACATGCTTTTGTATGGGTGGGTTTTAAAAAAAAGCCACTTTATGTTTTCTTTGATTGTAAAATTTTAGGGAGAATTATCATATCTTTATGACACGTCTTATAAAATCTCGCTTTTTTTACAGGCAAAAGCAAGGTATGAATGTAAAAGGGAATGTGTTGTAGATAAAGGCTGCACTACTCATGTTCATTTCMAAGTAGAATGTATAACTAATTACATTTTAATTAAATCTCTTAACATCAACAGCTGTTTTTAAGGGATCTTTCTAAGCTACATTTATTTTTAGTATTGTTTAAGATCCTCTTTCTTTGCATGCATCTCTCTTCATACATTATTGCCTTTTAAAAAGTTTCTCCTCTTTTAAAGTATCATCTGCTGCTGGTATATATTAAAGACTAAGCTCTGGCAAAATTAGGTTTTTTTAAGTCACTGGCTGTTGTATTGCTAAGTAGAGAGTAAAAAGACATGAAACCACCAAAATACCATTTGCTCTCTCTTTCTTTCAGAAACCAAAAGTTCCAATTCCCAACCCCGTGTTGCAGAGGGCAGTTTTCAGTTGGTGTTGGTTTATGTTTTATGTCTYTTATCCCTTCTCTGACAAGAGTGCTGCTAATCACAGTGAGAGCACAACTCTCTCCTCAGGTTGAACGAGCCACACTGATTTAATCCTTCTTTCCCTACATCAGCAGCAGTGAGTATCCTTTATTTAACTTGCAGAAAGAAAAATATCCGATCATTTTTAATGGGATGGGTGGTGGGAGGAGTCCAGTTTAGGGCTTTGAATATTAGGCCTCTTCAATGGCACTTGGGCACAATTGGGTTGGTCTGTAAAGCTTCAGATGTCCCTACAGCTTCTTGGGGTTGCCTGTTGGTCTGTTTGTTTCCAGTCTGGAATTTGTAAGGAAGGGAATGCTCTACAGGCAACAAAAAAAAAAAAAAAAACAGTAATCATGAGAGTTCTGTGTCGGTTTTGGGAGGTGCTTATACTATAATTGGAATGGCAATTTATTTCCTAAAATTGCATAAACGGTAAATACCAGTTCATCACCTCTTTCATGAAACTAGCCAAGAAGCTCAGAAAGACTTGCTGATGGAGGCTAATATCATTTTCCTGCCATTATATCAATTATTATAGCAATTCTGAAAAACCTGTGAAGCTTCCAATTGAGATCTACTAAAGGGTGGTGTTTATGTCAGCCCTTAAAAGTACGAATAAGCCCGCAGAGGTGAATGGCTTTAACCCTGGTGTAACTCCCGAGATGCAAGGGGAATTATTGCYCAAGATTGATTTTACTCAGCCTTTGCTGTAAAACCAAGGCGTTGAATAGTGCAAGGTTTGTAATTCTCTCATGCATACTTATTTTTCACTGCTAAATGAACTTCTGAGAGCAGAGCTGAACTGTTGTGCTTACTGGGAAGTCTCTTTTCTGTGCTTTTAAGTGCACTGGACCTAATTTTGATCTTGGACAAGTGTAAATCACAACATCAGTGACATCACTGTAATTGCATGGATGTAAAGTCAATGTATATGAGAGAATATCTGTCTTCTTCAGTCACATTCCTTGGAGGGAAGTGACTCTGACTAGCTTAACTCAGGGTCTTGAATAGTATTTTTGATAAGATTCAGCTTTCTCTACAATAAAAACGTCTTTTATTTCAATAGTGTAAAGCAATCAGAAATACTAATGTGTGTGACGAAGGCCAAAGCTTTGTCTGCTCTTGATGGATGGATCAGCCATCCTTGCAGCAGCAGACAACGCAGACTGGTTTAATGAATTGATGGGGTATCTGAGCCAAAAAAAAAGATCCTTGGGACACCTGCAAGCATTTCTGAGCATTTCACCCCAAGGCGAGGGAAGGGACATAAGTTGGGGGGAGTCTTGTGGGACATGAATAGGACAGGGAGTTAAAGTTTGGCTTGCAGCTGTGCTTTGTGATGCGGCAAAAGGACTAGATCTCTGCTCTCAATTTAGTCATTTATTGAATAAGGGCTTGGCACAGTCTTGGCCAAGACTGTGTGATAAGTCAATTTAGATTTTTCTAAAAAGCTTAAAACTTGAGATTAGAGATCATAATAGAAATATGAAGCATCCGGTAAAGTGCTGGCAAATTAGCAGGCATGGTTAATCCCTCATGTCCAGCAATAATTGGATGGTAGGAGAGGGGGAAAAAAATGTGCCTGTAAGGAGCACAAAGCAGCTGGACTGACAGTGGCCGCAGCGAAAGGCGGCACTTTGATTTGTTAGACTCAGAGCTTTGCTTAATGTGTTACTTGCTTCTTGTTAGAGCTGATTGAATTGCATAAAACCGARTTCTAGTAACTAAACAGCTACAGAGCATCGTATCAGGAACCGTACCAATCACTCCAGGCTTTACTGATATCAACGGCACATGCCACACACCGACATTCATGGCATACTAAATACTCTTCTATATGTCCAGAAAAGTGCATGACAATTTGTGCAAGATGAGCATCTTTCATGCTGGGTTATTGAGAAGCTGAGTTGTTTGTGTTATTTTTAATAATATTTACTGGTAGGCTCCGTGCATTGACTTTCAGGCATAGCGTCACAGTGAATTACCATTCCTATCAGACAGCAATTGCAAAATGCATCTTTTTTTTTCCTGTCTTCACAGGTAACCTTCTCTTTAGCAGAGACCCACGTAGACTGCTCCTGTATTTTTCATGTGACCTCTCTCTTACCTTTCATCTCTCTTGTCATCCCAGTTTACAGACAAGTGCAGCAGATGAATTGTGAAGAGAGACAGTGAGGGTTTGATCTGGTGCACCGAAGCACACAGGATTTTGAAAGACCTGGTGAATCTTGAGCTACCTGACTCAACATGATTTGTTACTGACCTCAGTGAATCCAGGACTTGACTTTGCTGTATGTTTGCTGCCTGGGAGGCAGGCAGAGCTTTCTTTGCCTGTGTGATCACACATATGAGGCTTCATGGAGCAGCTGTAGTAGCAAGCAGCTCTGGGAATGTGTGTTGATTCCCATCAGAGACATGATTTTTTTTTTTCTTGTCGYGAAGGATTTTCAAGTTATCTGTACATGGTATCATGAAATGGAGGAGAACTTGTGCACTTTGAAGAAGCTTCTCCAGAATCTTCACCATCTCTCCTGCGTATGATGGACCATTATTTACATTCTTGTTTATCTCTTTTTCTCTCCTTTTTCTCCTTTCTTCTAGTTGGCATCTTTCTTTGGTTTTATGGGAAGAGGCAGGTTTTAGTTTCAATGTGATACTGGATTTTTGGTTCTACAGCAGAAAACTCTCTCTGCCTCATGTTACCTTATCTTTGCATTAGCCTTTGACAGGGCTCTTCTGCACTGATGCACTTATTAAAGGTTTAGTTATTTATTCATTTCCTCTTCACTATCTTTAGGTGTACGGTTGGACTTCAAAAAGATCAGTCATGTTTTTTTCATGCTGCCTTTTTTTGTTCTCTCTTGTCAGGATTGAAAACCATGGTGGTGGTACAGAACCGTGTTCTGAAAGGTGACAGGCTGTCCCTACCCTTGGTCCAGGAAAGACCCTGACAGGAGAGGACAATGTGCTGGCTCACTGCTGGAGAAGGAAACACACACTGGGATTGCTTGTCTTGGTTTCCATACTGAGGAGGAGCCTGGAAAAAGACACCTTCTAGTCCTAGAGGTGTCCATGGATGAAAGGATGGTTCACTTGCCTTCAGATTTCATTTTTGTACAAGATGTTAGCTCTAAAATTGCCTAAGAGAAAGGGAGATGATTTTACATGCCAGCTGGGAGAAACTGTCTCCAAGCTGCAGGTTGCTGCACCCGCTTTTGAAATGTTCTCATCCAAGACTGGAGATGTAAATAGCATTTTGCTGCAGTCCTCACAGACCATCCTGAGGGACCAGCAGGACAAAAGGGGTCAGAAATGTTTCTCCTCTTGCTGCATTGGATAAACAACTGGAAGAAGGCTATGAATTAGAGACTTCAATGGGAAACAGCAAATAACATCAGCGGAAAAAGGCCAAGCTACAGATAACTATGGGATACTGAACGTCCACAAGACAAGGAGTTAACTGAGCTTATTGAGCACACACATAGTAGAAACAAAAGACATAAAAGAAAACTAGGTGGAATAATGAGTGGAATCCAGCAGTTCCAGTAGCACAGTGAGGTGTGGTTTATTCCAGGAAACGAGCATTTGCAATCATCTGCTAATATCTATTTAGAAAACCATGTCTAAATTTTCTGAGTTCCAATAGTTTAATTTTGGGGGGACAAGCTGCTTTTATAAACCAGTCTGGACACACTCTTCTGCGTGCAAATGGGAAAAGGAGAAGCTTCCTCCAGAAGCACAAGTCTAATAGACATAGCAAAACAGCAAAAAATACAGGTGTGCACAGGGCTGTGCACAGAGCAGAGGAAAATATCAGGGAGAGTTGGAAAGGGCCTTTTATGGGAAACTCACTATGGTGGATTGACTGCAGCAGCCTCTAAAAGCTGTTTGGCTGTAGGAAGCATGGGCAAATTCCCTGTCAGATCAATCAACTCTTTGAAGTGCCCCAAAACAGGCACTTTCCATGCTATGATTTTTCATTTTTATTCTTTTACCAGAGGATTTTGTTAGACTCTAGGACTTGGAGGACTAGGATTTGGAGGAAATGGCTGTGAGGCAGCACCAGGGCCTGGCAAAGCTGCATTTTCACTAGTGCTGTCGTCATTAACAGGAGCTGTTCAGGATCTAGGTCATCACAAGGTAATATCAATTTGGTCTGAATTGGGAGGCCCTGCACAATCCCACTTCTGTCAAATTAGCCAGGGTGAATGATGCAAAGTTTATGCAACTTTGCATTTTCAGATGATCTTTATGCTTGCTGGGGGAGGATGGCTGCCAGGGAGCCAGACGGGCTTAGAAGCTGATCTGGCACAAAGGCTTTCAGGACACAGTTGCCCCATTAAACATTTTTAAACAAATTTGCAAAGGCAAAGTGAATTTGCATTGGCTCAGTACTTTTCATCCAGTGGTAATAACATTATGTAATACCATAAAATCAGATTTAGCATCTCCTCAAGTTGCCATTGCAGCTCCCTGAGATGCCGTTTTCCAGAGCACAGGCTGAAGAGCACAGCAGCTCAGCACTGCTGAGGAGCAGTGGTAGGCACTGCAAGTGCCAAGGAGGGGAAGGGACAGTTTCAAATTGTGCTTATGGTTGGAGAAAAGTGACTTTTTTTTTTTTTTTTAACGTATCTGAATACAAGTTAATTCTGTAAATGAAAACCGCAGATGTCTTTAGCACAACAAGCTAGATTAGATTGATGCCTGGGACTGTATTGCAGCTGGCTGAATTCTCCAGAACCAGTTGTTAAAACTCTCTGCTGGTTGCCACAGTGGCACTGAGGGCTCCCTCCCCCAGCTCTGCCCCCCTGGGTGCCTCCTCCCCAAAACTTGAGCTGGAAAAGGGGCTTCTCCACCTTCCTTTTCAGCCCTAATTGAGGTGTTGATATCATCACGTTTTGTTCTTGTCCTGCACCCTGTGACAAGGGGCATGTTGCTGCTCTGTGGGCATTGGATGGAAAGAAGTGGGGTAGTCTTGAATTTAGGGACTTCAAACTCTCTAGGGATGTGGCATCAATTAGAGCAGCTGTTTTGTAATCTTAACCTCTGCAGGGATTGAAGTGGCTTCATACAATCAATAAGTCTCTAATACTTCTTTTAAGTGCTTTTTTCCCCTCTCCTTTTAAACAAGTAAAAACTTTGCTGCTAACCAATGAGGTTTTCTGCTCATGCAGTTACACCGATGGCAGCAGACAGGTCCAAAGTTGGCCAGCGTCTTGCCATCTCTTAGCCTGTTCCTTAACACAGACTCGTTTTTCAGTTCTGACGAGCAGAAGCTGTTTGTCCTGGTATCGGTTTGACTTCACATCGCATAATTCCCTTCCTGAACAACGTGATGAAAGATGTATGAGAACAGGCAAGTGGTTCCTGTCTCTGCACAGCTACGCTGGGGTTACGCGCCACGTGTAGCGCTGCCGTGGCTGTAGCCCGGAGCGCTGCCAACGGGGAGTGAGGGCGCCGCTTGGAGCAGCGGGGGGAATGTTCCCCTGGCGAGGTGTGCACAGAACTTGCACTCTGGACAGCCCCAGAGCGCAGAGAGAAAGGACGTGTCCACCAGCCTGCCCGCGAGCTGCCTGCGAAGCACAGCAGCCCATGCTGGGGGTGAAGCAGCTGGAGTGGGGCTGTACACCAGGCTGCAGGCAAATCCCTCGTCCCTCACCATGTGCAGGGCTGCTGGAAAAGGAAACAGCATGGCTAAAACAAACAAACAAAAAAATTAACTTTCATTGCATTTCCCCAATGTTAATATAACATGTATTATGGGGTTTCTTTTCTGCATAATACAATTTGGAACAACTGGAGGGGCTAGAAATATGCTTACAAGGCTTGAAAACATCGTGTGTGACATGACTGTGGCTTTTCCCTACAGCATCTCCCTCTGTCAGTATGGATGTGACCTAGGGACAGAGCTGCACTTATCACACCTAGCTGCACCAYGGGCTGGGGCATCCCATGCAGACAGCCCTTATCCTAGAATTATTCCTGATGTGCTTCCCATATTGTTCATGCTTCGTTATTGATAGCAGCAATTGTGAACAGGTGGCTTCACAATCTCCTGGTCCTTTAGCTATGGTCAAATTGTTCTGTATGTGGATTAGTTAGAAGATATTTAGCATAAACTTTTTTTCCTAAAAACATTTAAAAAAAAAACAAAACAAAAACAAACAAAAAGATATAGAAAAGGAGTGAATGCAAAGAAGTTTCTCCTTATGGTTCCTCATGGAAAGGATTACCAGCTTCCTGTTTGTTGCAGGATTGATCTTGTTCACAGCGGTAAAAGGGAAGAAGACTGCAGAGAAGGCAACAGTCTGAGGGTATAAAGCCTTTTGGTCTTGCTTGGTTAGCTGCAAGTATGGGAGACTTTTTGGTGCCTCTTGCTTTCATCTCCYTCCTGTCACAGCACAACCTCAGGTCAAGGAACTGGTAGACTAGGACTTGGATGAGCATTTTCACAGTATGGCTGCATAGTGAGGGGAGCTGCAAAAGTGACTTAATCCTAATGTTGCAGATTCATTGTGCTTGCTTGTTGGTCAGACCACCATGGACTCATTTCTCTCGTCCAGAGAAGCCTGGTGACYCCTGATTGCCAAAGAGGAGTCCTGCAGAAGACGAAGCGCCTTCTTGCGCCCTTCTGCTGAACGCCGCCTTGCTCCAGTGGGGCTGCTCTTGCTGTCCTGGGTGTCCACTACACATCAGCAAAGTCTGCAGAATCCACCTCTGAAAGAAAACTTGCTGACCTAAGATGATTGCAGGAAACAATAGATTATCCTAGGTGGAAGAGGATTAACCAGCTACCCCAGATGAGGATGAATTCCATAGGAAAAAAATCCATATGGCCATTAATCTATGGATGAGCCTTCAAACTGATCTTTAAAACTCCTCATCTACAGTCTTTAGAGTGCAAGGAAGTCACTCGTGTAAGAGATGAGGATCAGCCCTGTTCTGTTTTCTGTGTCTTTGTTCAAATGCCGCTTTCTCTGTGCCGCCCCGCAGCCGCGCGGCCCTTCTCCTTTCGGTGTGAATCAGCGCAGGGGCTGGCGCAGACGCCCCAGCGCTGGTTTCCTGCGGCAGCTCGCTGACCTTGCTGCCCACACGGCTCTCAGGAAACCACCTTTCCTCCGTGACCCCTCCATTAGCTGCGTGGTGACGGGAAGGAGCCCGACCCCATCATGCCCTCGCGGCGCCAGACGCGGTTATTGGCAGAGCGGCATCTGGGCAGCTTTTCCAGGTCTTTTCTGATCTTCTATGATGAGCAGCCTGGCCTGGGAGACAATATGGTTGTAGCTAAATTTAAAGTGTGCACAAGCACATGGAAAAGCAAAAGTGAAAAGCCAGTAAAAGTTTGTTTCCTGGATGAAGCACTTAGCTGAGTTACAGTCGAGCTGCTTTCAGTTCTCAGATCTYAGTGTTGATGTTAGAAACATTTAGTTCTAAACATTATTTAGAAACTCTTAATGTTAGAAACATTATTTGTGATTTCTTGTAGGTCACAACTTCCCCATGTCTCCCTTCTGTATTAGGCCAGCGTGGACGATAATGGTGTTTCTGCTTCATCCCGTGCCTGYCCTTCACTCTGTGACTGGCCTCTCTGTCAGGTCTCCTCAGGAGCTYGGCTTCCATTTGCTCGTGAGTGGCCAGTAGGACAGAGAGATGATCTTGCTCAAGGCCTTTGTGGATTTTAGTGACAATAATTCAGACCATSAGTTAACTGAAACAGGAACAACTGTTTGAAGAACATACCTATGAGGCTCCTCTTGCTATTGGATTTCATTATAGTATTTTTTGTTTGACTGACACCGCTAGGCACATTTGTTTAGCTTATCTATAAAATTGCCATTTTTATTAGAAAATCTGACCTTGCATCTGAGGAGCTGGATAGATGGATAATGACTTYGTTATTATAATGTGTAGCGTTGATAAAGACATTAAATATGTTAACATTTTTGCATAGTTTCTTCTTTCTCAGACACGAGAAAATACCTTTCCTGAGCTGGCTGGATCCTGACACCGTGTGCAGGTTGTGACAGCCACGTTCCTCCCTGATCAGTTCCCCTGCGCCTGCCAGATTGCGCAGCACGGGTAAGAGGCTCCAGTTAACAGCAGCTCTACGCACTTTATTTGTCCCTTTCAAAGGCTGCATCTAGTGACTGTGTGACTAGAGCAACCTCAGTTTTACAGTAACAAAACAGCTATGAGTTTTCAGAGTAAAGTATATTTTGACTGACACACAAGGAGCTGTAGTTTTGTTCCACAATGGAGAAAATGACTTCATTTAACAGCTTTCTGTGCCAAAAGAGAAATAAAGCAGTTCTGAGAATGTTGAAGATTTTTTTTCCTATTTTAATTTTAAACCTAAAAGAAAGAGCAGTTGCCTCATAAGTCCAAGTCAACGGAATATATAAATCTTTAAAAAGGTTTCATAAAGTAATAATGACTTCAGTATATGTACGAAATGAGATTAAAGAGCTACATTTGATTCTAATACAGTCTCACATTCAAAAGGACCATCAGTTTCCTGTTAGAAATCTACTTATATTGAGCTGAATGGAGTTCAAATATAATGCCATTGTATTTCAGGCATTTATCTTAATTTAAAACAAGTGCAAAACATTAATAACAGAACAAGGAAATGTAGAACTATAGGCATTTCCCTCCTCCTTCTCCTCTTTTTAAGATAATGCACTCAGCTGTAGCATATTCCTGCTTTTACTGTGCTGCTGGTCATGCAGGAGACAAAGTGTACAATGCTGGACCCATTAAAATCCTAAGCAAAGGCATCTTTTCAAAGGGGCAAGGGATAAAAGTGAAATCTCCTTCACAAAGTGTCCATTTTTGAACCAGGCGTGGGGGTYTACACAAAATGCTTTATTTCTGCTGTTTTTACATAGGTCACCTTCACAAAGTACTTGGAATGCAGACACACTAAAGTGAGATGCTCCAAGATAGAAATTTTCCCATTTTCTGACCCTTATGTCCTCTTTCTTGCCAGTGCAAACTTGCCCTTTGCCATGACTGTCTTTAAACATATCATGTTGCACATCATCCCGTCATGCATTTTACATGTCCTTCCTATAAATTTCAGCTCCTGTAGTGCAGTTCCGCAGGATGGCAGACAGCAGCTTTTCAGAACCTTTGCACTCCTTGAAGCTTATTGTCAAACAGAGGAGGAAAAAAAAAAAAAAAAAGGAAAGTCAGGGGACTGAATTTGAAAAGTCGGTGAGTGAAGAAAACATGTGAAAAGGGCCCAGAGATCAGTCCTAAAATGCAGATTGGGCTGGGGCATTACTGTGCTAGGCACTGTACAAACAACTCAGCCTTGCCTTAGAAGGTTTATAATATAAACACGAGTTACAATAATTTTTCACTGAGTTTTCAAACTACAATAAAGTACTTCTCCTTCAAGAATGACAAAGGAATGTTCAAGTTAGACCTTTCACGTATGTGTAAGAATCTTTTCCCCAAAGACACCAGATATCCCACCAGTGAACATATATATCTAGTGGAATGACTTTAGTTTTTATTATCAGGACCTTCCCAGGGAGCTTTACGTGCCTTGCAGTGCTGTATTCTTTACAGTTTTCTGAATCCTATGCATTTAAGGTTGCTTAACAGCTGGTGAGTCACAGGACTTGTGTTCTGAGGTGGAATGATCCATTAGGACAAAGCCACTAGAGGTATTTTAACCTTTGGAAAAAAAAAAACATCAATATGAGTGGCTTAAGTAGTCTAGGTTAAAAAAGAAAAGAAAAGAAAAACAAGCTGACAGCAACAAGCTGTCTGCATGGTCTGCAAAAAAATTAATCTCTATTCTTATAGGTGCATCTTAGGGATGTAAAATTGGCCAGGGAAAGCCAGAGCTTTCTGGATTAAAACAGACACTGTCTTGGGCCTCGTGCAAAGCCAACACTTTAGAAGAGCACTTGGCCTTTCTAATTTCACCAAAGAGCTGGTTCTTGTCTGAAACAATGAGCTGTAGTTACACAGATACTACACAAAAGGTCTTGCACTTGACTCAATGGCAGAATGAGGAAAATTGTACAGGCAGCATTGGTTTCCCCCCACATTAAAGATGTCTCGTGCTGTACGAGTTCAGCTAGCTCTGTTTTAGCCAAATTTCCTAAGGAAATAAAGTCAGTAACTCTGACTTGCCAGTCAATGTCTGTTCCTCTCCTCTGTGATACAAATCCTGGTTAAAGAAGGGTGATTTGAATCTAATTTGCCTGTGAGATCTGGAGGTCTGAAAGATATTGCCATCCTCTGGATTTCATGAGCAGAGGCCGTCCAGCAGAGGCAAAACCAAATCAGGGCTCCTTTTAGGGAAAACACCGCAGCATTAGCGCAGTTGCATTACGAGACACCAGAAAATCCACCCCACCACACACATGCAGGCATTTCCGAATTCAAGGAAACTAGACTTCATAAATTCGGTTTGTGGAATGAATCCTTTGCATAAAAAAGGCAGTGGTTTGATATTCTCTTCCTAACTTAATGGYATAATGTTAGCAACTTCACTTCTCATTAAATCTCCTCAGGA